CAGTGTGAAATACAGGAGCTCTTCTGCATCTCATAGTCACTTGGCTGACCGTTTAGGACAAGAGGTGAAAAATACTTCCCTTCAAGGCTGGGGAAGACTGGAATAAGAAAGAATATAATCATTCACGGATAGAGAATATGGAATGAGCAGAACTGGCTGAGGTTGACCCCTACACTTATATAAGAAAAGCTTTGAGATCTTTGATGTCTGGGAGGGGCAGGACCTCTCTTTAATTCGTATCTGAAAAGACGTCAAGCAGAGTACATTTTCCCATGATACCATTCTGACATCTGGGGTCAATCCTTTCTCCAAGTGAGAAAAAAAAAAGTCGTCACTTGCATAAATGCAACTTCAGTAGCACCTTGACAGTCCCGGGAAGTTGTCCAACTGAGTGTCACTGTAATGTGGTTAAGTCACCTTGTTAGGCATTGATGGTGCAGATGCTCCGAGGTGTCTCTGTGATGGGGTGGATCTCTCCATAGGTGAGTGCTGGCGAGAAGGAAGGGGGCTGCTGTGGGTGCTGGAGGCTCTCAGCACAGAAGGGGCAGCCTGGCCTAAGAGCGTGGCTTCTGAGGACAAACGTAGTCTGGGTTTATTCACAACTCCTCAACTTTCCTCACCTGTAAGTGGTGATAATCACACCTCCCTCACGTAGTGTTTGAACAGATTAAATGAGATAGGGCTGCTTTAAATACTTGATGGTGATTAAGTGTTTATTGTTCTTGTTCACCTGCTCCTCCTATCCTACCTCTCATTAACATCTAATACCAAGTTCTATTTTTTTTTAGGCCTTTCTCATGAAAAATATGCATGTCCACTAACACTATTTCCCCCCAGGGATTTTGCACTTCAGCAAGAAGAATTTAAATCAATTCATTTCTTAATTTCTACACACTAATGTTCAGTTATCCAAAGGGTGTCATATCATTAAATGTCAGTAAAAACTAATTTATATATTTATGTATACGTACTTATATATCCTGGATTTTTAAAAAATATATATTTTTTATTGATTTTTAGAGAGAGAGAGAGAGGAATGTATAGAAAGAAACATTGATGTGAGAGCAGAACATGGATGGGCTGTCTCTTGTATGCCCCCTATTGGGGATCAAGCCCACAACCCAGGCATTTGCCTTGACCAGGAATCAACCAACAACCTTTTAGTGCATGGGGCGACTCTCAACTAACTGAGCCACCGGCCAGAGCTTTCTTGGATTTTTAATAACAGCAAATTTGTCTGCCTCCTAATGTCCAAAACATCGGCTTAATTGCTTCTCTGCTGAGGAAATCTCCCTACACGTGGCTGTAAAATGTTTAAGTGTTTACCAAAGAACCATTTTCCTCAAAGTCACTCTCCTTTCTATGGGCTGTTCTACAGGATAGGAATTCCCAGGGGTTACCCTGGAAACTTACATGTGCAGGATGAGTCTTACTAAACATGTTAGTCTTCCTCTAGAAAAGTATTTCTACCTATGGTGATATTCTTCAGCTAGCGCTGGTAATATAAGTCGCATTTACATATAACTGGCATCTGGAGATTTGGATACCTACATTCCCCACTCCTCTCTTAGATTAGGCTGTTGTAAGACCGCATCTGAAGAGACCAGGCATGGCCTCAGGGGCCACTGCAAGGCCCTGGCTTTTTCCTTTGAGGGAAATGGCAAGCCATTAGTAGGTTCTGAGCAAAGGAGAGACCTGATCTGACTTAGGTGTGGAGATAGACTTTGGCTGCTGTATTTGATTAGACTGTAGTAGAATAAAGGTAGAAATAAGGAGAGCAGTGAGATCTACTGCAGAGATCCTGCAAGAGATGATGGTTATTTGAACCAGTAGGATAGCAGGGAGGTGGTGACCTATCTGGATTCTGGTCATATTTTGAAAGTTGAGCCAAATGTCTACCCTAATGGGCTAGATGTAGAGTATAAAAGAAACAAAGCAGTCAGTATAATCACATGTTTTTTGGCTTGAGCAACTGGATGGATGGAATTGCCATCCACTGAGACAGGGAAGGGTGCTAGAACAGCTAGTTTAGGGTGGTAGACAAGGGGTTATTTCGAGACATGTTAAACTTGAGCTGTCTATTGGACATCAAAATTGACATGACAGCAGGCAATTAGACATGCAAGTCTGGACTTCAAGAGAAAGAAGGACCCTTAATATATACCCCTTAATATTTATAAGAGGCTTAAAGCAATCAATATCAGGCTCCTAGTAAGAAAGTAAGCAATGGTCATGATTAATATAGTTCCTTCTCCTCCTTTGACCACGTCATTCCAATTGTCTGAAGTAACTGCAATGGTCAGATCCTATTGTATGTAATCACTCTCTGAACTAGTAATTAAGTTCCACAAAGCAATCCTTTCTTACTTTGGGTGTTGATCACCCTCTTTGATGGTAAATTTCCCATTTTCAAGTGCAGTTTGAGGTTACTGTGGGAGGGAACTAAATTTCAAAATAAAAATTAAAACACATGATATGAACAGAAAGTCAATGCAATTTTGGAAAATGTCCTTTGAGTACAGAATATTTAGCCAGAGAAGTCATATAGTAAGTAAGATAGTTAAGAGAGTAGATTCTAGCCTCGAAATGCACTTATACTTCAGCATATCACCTTCAATATTTAATATCTCAAGTCCCAGTTCCCTCATCTGTAAAATCAAGACCTGAAAGAATCGTGGAGAATGTTGAATGAGATAATACATATGAAGCACTTAGCACATTGCTACACACAGTAGGCTCTTATTCTTAGCTATGATAATGATGATGATGGTAAACAGCTTTACTTTTTATTTACAATTGGTTCTAAGACTAAAGATTTTTCTATGGCTTTTTATTTACTATGGACTTTTCATTGAATATGTTTCTCAATATACCCCTTAAAGTTTAGAAAACTTGCTCTCAAGGCATTATGCCAACGAAAGAAAAAAGATTTCAGGAGTAGAAATCAGAGTCTGATCCAGCCTGTTATTGGCACCCCGTTCTCTTTCTTGACTCCAACCGGCCCTCCCCCCACCCCTGCCCCAGTACACTGCCCATGGGGTAATCAACAAACTAAATGAATTGACTCAAAAGGGAAAATACTAAAGGTATCTCTTCCCCCTTAGGTTATTTTAATTGTGTATATTTTGTTTTGAAGCATGGTTCTTTGGGGGGGGGGGGCAGAATATGTTTACTATAGAAAAACACATATTCTTTTAGCCTAGTAATTTTGGAAGCAAAAGATGGTTTCCATGGTAAGAAGATGGAAAAGGAGTAGTTTAATAGAAGATCGCACAGAAATAATGCACATTTTATAGTCTGAGGGAAGGTATTTTAGCCTCTCTGCCTAAACAATACTGTCAATGCTAAGTTACGCTAAATCGGTGCCTCGGATAAAGGGGAGCCAGCTCCAATGTGCCTGCTCGGAGGGGAAGTCAACAGTGAGCTCCCGGAAAGCGCCTCAGCACAGCAGAAACCTGCACTGTGACACACTGAGGCTTAATTGGTCCTGCTATGGTTTGGAAGAAAGGCTTTGAGAATACTTCTGACCTCTTAGAAGAGATTTATAGACATATAATAGTGCTTTAATCCTTGCATCCTGGAGTTGCCAAAGTGATAGTATATTAGAGAACATCAAAGCCTAATCAGACAATGAATGCCTGACATCCCAACTCTTCTCCAGGCCAGTCTTGGGTCCCAAACAATCATCCTTTTTCTAGGCCTTTAATTACCTTTACACAATGTCTAACAGGGTGTATTTTCCCCTCACATTATTTCCATATTCATTGTCTTTTGGTAGAATGTTTTTTCTTTCTTTCTTTCTTTCTTTCTTTCTTTCTTTCTTTCTTTCTTTCTTTCTTTCTTTCTTTCTTTCTTATTCTTTCTTATTTATANTTTCTTTCTTTCTTTCTTTCTTTCTTTCTTTCTTTCTTTCTGTCTTTCTTATTCTTTCTTATTTATATATTTATTTATTTATTTATTTCTCTATGTGTTTGAAATTCTACCATGCTTTTTTGGGTCTAACTTAATGCATCCCTTTTTACTAGTTATAAGTTTCTTGAAATCATTTGACTCTGCTCCTTTGTCCGTTTACTGTACTTATCTTAAATCTTTCTCTTTTCCCATTCATTTGCATAGTTTTACGACATAAAATTGTGATATTATTGCTAAGATATCTATTGAATGAGAAGATATCCACAAAAATCAGCATAAAATTATAAATTGTATTTTAAAAGTGAGCACACCAGAACATAAATATCTATAGGAGTGTTGCCCCTTTTTAAGAAGCTGCAATGATGTTTACATAAGTTTTGAAATTAAGTTTAGAACCATGTCATGATCTTCACAAGAAACTGATCCTCTTATTTTACCTTCGCTTCAGGTTTAACCCATATTAGCATTTACTCACAGAATTCATGGCACCTGGTGCCAAGTTTCCTGTAATAGTTTCCACAGTTCACAGCAGTACCACTAAGGATTTTCAAACATACATGGACCATATCCTGAAGACAATTCTATAGGAGAATTGCAAAATTGTTTTTGAGTAGCCCTGGCCAGGTCACTCAGTTGGATGGAGCATTGTTCCATACACCAAAAGGTTGCAGGCTTGATCCCCAGTCAAGGCACATACGCAGGTTGTGGGTTCGAACCCTGGTGGGGCACATACGGGAGGCAACTGATTGATGTTTCTCTCTGCCTCTCTCTCTCTCTCTCATCAATAAAAACATATCCTCGGGTGAAGTTAAAAAAAATAAATTTTTTTTTAGTTTGGCAACTTAATTAAAATGTCTATAGATCCCAAGTACTTTGAAAGGGAAAAGTTCCTTCGGATGGATAAATTCTCTTATTTCTGATAACAAAGTGAACTTACTATTTTATAGTCACATCATAAGGGCCAATTCAAAAGTTCTGTTACTTTACTTAAACTATGTTCCCGTACATAGTGTGTTTAAAGCTTTTAATCTGTGCATGTGGAAAATAGGCTCTCGATAATAACACTATGTCTGTCTTATTGTCTCTAGGACTATACTTAATAAGAAAGAACTACTGGAGTTTGCTCAACTTGGCTGTTACTTGGAATATGATCTCTTTGGTACTGAACTCTTTCATTACCAATTGAACCCAGATATTGACATGCCCGATGATAATAAAAGAATTAGAAGGTAAATATGATTAAATCTCTGATAGCATTCGCTTTTGATTTTCATGTCTGGGTGGGTATTAGCAAAGGTTCTGGAATCAGTAAGCAGGCAGAACCAGAGACCTGCAGATAGAAATATATCAATGCTGTTTCAGGGAGAAGAATCTCTATATATTATAGTAAGAAGAGAATGAGCCATCCTAAGCAGGCAAAAGCTCAGCAGAGCCTTAGACATTCAGTGCAGATGGGCAGCTGACAAGAAACACAGATAACACTCAACCCCTGCCATGGTAACGAGAACAAAACATGTTTCTCTCCTTTATCTCTCAGGAAGTAAGGTATTTCTTTCCCAGGTTGAACACACTCAAGTCATAACCTCATACAATATATTTTTGAAATGCTTTATTAAAAGTACTCACTAAAGAGTCGACTGCAACTTAAATGCTATAAGTATACTGTCTAAAGACCAAACATCATATAAAAATCTAACCTTTCAAAACTGTCTGATATTCAGTGAAAGCAAACAACTGTACATGTCATTCTATGCCACGAAATGGAAAATGTTGAGAGTCAGGGATGAATGGCTACCTGTTTCATCTTAGTTACATGGTGATATGAACACCGAATGGAGCAGGTCAGGGAACCCGGAGGAAGAGCTAGATCTGAGGTTGAAAGGATGACTTTTGTTCGGGAATACCTAAGGGCTGCTCTCCAGCGGGGCCCTTGGAAAAGAGTGTGAAGCTCGGGCTGGAAATTGCTTGAACTGAGACATGAGTGTAGATGCCATTGGTTTGTACGTGACAGCTGGAAGTGTGGGGATGAGTCAGATCACTCAGAAAATGAGGGCCGAGCCCCCGGGAACACATGCGTTTAAGGGGTGGACTCAGGAACAGCCCCTCAAGGGCAGGTGGAGAAGTTTGCAAAGTGGTAAGAGAATGGCAGGCGAGTGTGTCATCATGGGCGCTGGTGGGGCGGCAGGCTGCAGGCGGGACGGCTTGAACGCTGGTGGTCGGTGGCAGATATCAAGTGAGATAAAGACCGAAAAGCATCCAGTGGATTTCAGTCCGGAGGCTCTCATTTCTCAGTTAGTAAGTGCAGCCTTGGTGGAAAAGGCTCGGGGAATGAGTAGGAGGCGAGAGGGGGAGAGAATGTGGAGGTTATTCTTGCAAGAAGCTTAGGGGCGTGGGGGTAAAGGGGCCTAATATACCGTGACAGGGGAAGGTAGGACTTTGGGCGGTGGGCACACAGAGCAAACCCACACCTGAAACCTAGATGTTCGTATTAACCACTGTCACCCCAATAAATGTAAGGAACTGTTATTAAAAAAATAAATAAAATCCAGAAGCTTGGTAGTAAAGGGAAGGAAGCAGGGGTGTAGGGCTAAAGCTAGATGACAAGACAGATCTAAGGAAGGTTTTGTTAGGAGCTGAGCCATGATTATGTAGCTGAGAGCAAGAGCAGAGAGGCAGAGAGGCTGAATCCAGGGGAGTAAGTAATGCCTCTTCTACAGGCTTGTTAGAGAATGTATATGAAATAAAGTATGCAAAGTTTTTAGCTGACCGACTAGGGCAGAATATGGAACTGGTCAATGAATGTTAATTTTTAAAAAACTGGAGAGATAAGAGATACAGAGCAAGGCTCCTAAGGAGACAAATAGATGGCAAATCAGAAGTTGGTTAAAAGGAGATGCACTTTCTCCATGGAAATGAGGGGAGATGAGGCCAGTAAAGGGGTGAATACAGATACCTCTTGCGGGGAGAAACAGGGAGTGAGAGCATATGGCCCCATGTGGTCTCTAGTGAGCCCTTAACAATCATCTCCTGAGAAAGAAGGAGTAGATTCCGGGCAGGAGCTTGTAGAAGAGGGTGTAGGCCGGGGATGGATGTCAGGTGGAGAGAGAGATATGACCAGAGACATGATGTGTGCAAGACCCAGGTGAGGCTAGAGGTCCCGGCTGCATGACTGTGTATTGGCTCCAATACACACATGACTTGGTGAATATTTTCCCCAAAAATGTCTTGTAGTTTGGTAGTGGAACCAAAGAAGCTTTGTGAGTAGAAGCAAAAATAGAAGAAAAAAAGATGCAAAGAGTTGGAGAGATCAAGAGTTGGGATTTTGTCCAAAAAATGTTGTTGATAGCTAAGGGAACAAGAGAGGGGTTGAGAGGAGGGTCATGAGGTCTGGGCTGGAGGGAAGAAAATGTAGAGAGAAAAGGGAATATATGCGGCAGGGGGCGGGGGCACATAGCTGCAAGCTTTGGTGGAGCGGGTGGATACATGTCGTAGGAGAGGGCGAGCGAGAAGCTAGGAAGATGCGACTGGGGGTCAGGGTGGGAAACTGAAGACTAAGAATTCAGAGAGGAGGTAGCTCTCCATGGTGACAAGGGCCGGAATACGGTTATCAGTGTAGAAACCTGGTTAGAATGGAAGTAAGCAACACTGGAGTGGAGACATGATGTCTAGAAACTGTGAGGTTCAAGTATCAACAGTTAAACGTGTGCACCCTGGGGCTGAGATGAGCTTGAGCCAGAGGCCACAGTTGGGACAGGCTTAGCATTTGCTCCTGGGCAGTGGGCCTTTCTGTCTATGTGCCTTTCCGCTGTCCCTGGGCGTCAGCACTCCTCCTGATGACCACATGCACAGGAAAATATGCTTCAAGTTTAGCATCACTAGAGAGAGCTAGCTGATCGGTGTTACACTAGTTACATGAACGTGGAGAGGCTTAGCTCTCCATACGCAGACTGCTTGGACTGTCCTGACCAGTGAAACTAGATCTATTTTTTTTTTTTTTTTACTACTCAAACTAGCCCTTTGATAAACAGATATATTGTTTCATTTTTGTTTATTTTGTTCTATATTTTTCATTTACTGGCCCAGTAGCGTTATTCAATTCTGGCTAACAGGCTTCCCAAGGGCCCTTCTAGCTTGTGCCATGCTCAGAGGTGAATATTGTCTGGAATTTAAAATGGGATGGCGTGGTAGGTCTTTATGATCTTTCATGATCTCGAATCATGATTTCCTGATAAATGTCCTCAATAAATATTTTATGATTCATCTTGGAAATTGGAAGCTAGCTCCTGGGACCTGCTTCCTTTGTGGCAGTGAGGTATATCTTTTGCACCCTTACACCTTCCATGAGGCTCCCAGACCTTCTGGAATAAGAGACAGGAGATTTGCCGAGGGGGATCTATGAAGGAGATGGGGGAAGGATGACCAACTCCTCTCCCAGTAGGCCTTCTTACCATATTTAATATCCTTTCGGCTATTAAATCAAGAACAAGAACTTAATTTGGTCAGCTTTCATTGCACCAATTGTAAACATTCTAGATGTATGAAAATATATATAAAATTATATATGTGTGTGTTTATGTATTTCTATGTATATGTGTATGTATATACACTTATCTTCCTTAAATTAAAACAATGCATTAGGTCACTGACTCAAGTACAGCCCACAGTAATCCTGAATGCACTTTTGGATGGTATGTGCCCCAGTGCCCTTGTCCCTATCTCTTGGGCACTTGGTTTTCATCTTTCAGTGGCAGTCCTTTTCTGAGCCTGGGTAGTCATAAAGCTCAGAAGTGCAAGAACAGAGAAGCACGCGCCTGCCTACCTCTGGTTTTCAGCACCAGAAATTCTGTGTCTAACACCTGTTTTCAATCTTGTGCTCCAGTTCTCAAATCTTATTATATCTCTGCCTTTTCACACTTTGTAGTCTCTCTCTAATATTTGTTTGCAAAACACTAACTCATTTGTATTTCTATAATTACTGCGATTTTTTTGTCTTCTCATCTGTAGTGGTTCATTCCTTCTGGTGGTGTCGCTAGAACTACTGTTCTTCCTTACAGTGGCCCCACAGGAGGGATGATCTCATTTTAGGAGTGACCAGGTAGTTTTCTCGATGGGATATCATTATGTTTCTAGAGCTATAACATTATCTTTCCTAGGAGTCTCCAGATTCTTGACTTAATGAGTCCTAAGGGTTCCCATTTTCAAAGGACTATCTTATCCATTATATTCTTTCCTCACTACTTCGCAATTCAGTAAGTTTGTGTTGACACAAGGCCTCTTACAGGAATCTGTTCGTCCATATGACATGCCTCTGTAGTAACGAGATACCCCCCTTTTTTCCCCTCAAAGAAAAGAGACAAAATCTTAGGGAAGCATACCCTAAAACATCCTGTAAAGACACATCCTGCATTGTTTCTGTCAAATCTTTCTGTCTCATAAATGACCAATAACTCTTAGATAATTCTGTTAAAGAGAATTTGTTCCAAAGGTAACTTCAGAACTTTTGGGCATTACACAAATTTTTAAAGACTCAAAGAGAACTGTGGTGACACAATTAGCATTCCATGTATAGGGCACACATGACATGAATATGGAGTTCTAGACAAAATGCCCAGGGTGGCTCCTCTTCTCTGGCACTTATATCCCTTTGACCTGCAAACACAAGACCAAATCTTCCATTGAAATTTATTTTTAAAATGTATGTTCTCAGAAGGAAGGGCTTTGTGCTTGAGTTTTTGTGTAGCACCTCAGGTTTTGCTTATTGTAGTAGCTGTTAAATATGCCCCATGCACTAGAATGCCAGGAAGTGCCACTGAAATACAAATATTACCTAGATCCATTTGGGAATCTAGAAACTGACAAGACTTTATAGCAAATGCCAGAGAAGAGCCACTGTGCCCAAGTTGCACCTCCTGTCACCAGAGACCCATGGATGTCACGACAGACACTGCCCAGAGTCCGGACATGTACAGATGGTGGCTGTCAGGAGGTGACTCATGTTTTGAATTATAGCATTAGATGTTTAGACAAAGCAACGGCTCATCATTTATAGCAATCTTACTGAAATAGAAGGAAGAGTAAATTTTGAGTGGTCAATTTAACCCAGTGCTCCAAGACTAAGTAAAAATTCCCATAGACGTCAAAGGGACAAATGCTCCAAATATAAACATACCATTGCTCAGCTTTTAAAAATGACTGTCTAGCTATCATATACCCTTCACTTCCAAACCAGCTGGTTTTACTCTCAGAAGGTTTCACTTGTACGAAGATTCCTTCTGTTTCCCTATTTAATCAGAAGTAGTCATTGGTGTTATTTGCTAGAAAAAAAGGAGAGAGACTGAGATCTGAAAAAAAAAAAAAGGCCCACTAAGAAAGGCATTTTTAGAGTGAGAACCAGCTACAGAGGCAGAACAGTTATTTAGTGGGATGCTAAAGGGGCCATCCATTCAAACTGGCACCTCCTGTTTGAAGCTATCTTTAACGCAGCACTGCCAGGCATTGTCCTAAATATCAAAGGCTACACATATCTGTGGGCATGCAACAAGGACCGTGATCCTACCAAAATGCAGCCATCGCTTTATCATCACCACACAGTATTTATTAAGGGTCTCCCAGTGCACATGCCACGGGGAAGGCGGGGTCTCTGCGACAAGCACAGTAGGTTTGTAAGTACAACGTGTAAAGCACCCTGAAAACTGTAAATGTGAGACAAATGCCGCATAATGAGTTAACATTCTTCACAGGGTACGTCTCCTGGTGGATGAAGGCTATGAAGACCGGATTCTGATGGCCCATGACATACACACAAAGCACCGGCTGATGAAATACGGAGGCCACGGCTATTCTCACATACTCACCAACATTGTTCCTAAAATGCTGCTTAGAGGTATAAGCGAGAAAGCCCTTGATAAGATACTAATAGCAAACCCTCGGCAATGGCTAACTTTCAAATAAGGGTTGGTTGTAAGTTCACACCTTGAACAGGAAGCTTACAGGGAGCATTCAGCTCTTTCAAACCCACTGTGAGGTATCAATTAATCAGCGCTACATGGGACTAATGATGGGTCATTTCCTTTTTATGAGAATTAGAAGCATCTTGCCTTCTTAGAACCTGGCTATCACATCTGCGCCTTTTGGGAGTCATGGAGCCTTACTGAGCCCTATTGCTTTGCCTTAACAATATAAGCACAGAAGTGCCTACTTCCAAACAATGATTTACAGGCTAAATCCCTTTAGGGAAGTTTTGTTTTGTTTTCTTAATCTATCAGCTGCCCTACTTGAGAATTTAAAGTGTTTTTAGTTAAATTACCCCCTTCTGGAGCAATCCAATATTTCCTGTAATATTGATGATCCTACTAATTACCCTGCTGTTCTTTAATTAATGCTTAATGAATAATATGGCACTTTAGAATAGCTTCTTCAGCAAGGGAAGTGAAATTTTGAGATTTTTTTCAATAGAGACTGTAAGACAATTACCAATTTACAATGGTAAAAATATTGTGGAAGATTAATTATATGCTGTCCACCTATCTATATATACTTACAATAAATCGTGTTGCCTGTGGCTTTCTGGCACCCACTTTTGCTATAAATTTTGTTGTGTTTTGAAAATTTTTTATAAGGGGGCATGAACACATAATGCTGAATTATAAAAATTCAATCATAAAAGTCAGAATATATTACATAATATACTTTAATGAATCATTACATTTATAATAACAAAGGCCACAATTTAATTAATAATGTATAATGCAAAAAAAGAGAAACGTTTGCCATATATATATAGTCCCTTTATTCCCTTTACCTTTTCTTTGTTTTTCCTTGGGCCTAAATAGAGAAAATAATGCTTATTTATATGAGGAAAAGGTCGGGTCTACTAGAAATGACAGTCTGACTCTTCAGCTTATGCTCTAAAAGTTATCAGCCTTGGCGCCCTCCTTGGAGCACGCCCATGACCTTCTCTTGAGCACATACTATTTTTTAATACTATAAGGGTCCCCATGAGACTTGCAACCAGGGAAGCAGCAAGCAATGGCAGCTCGTCCCAGGCGTAACCCCTGAACCTGTCTCCAAGTCACCCTTTTCTCTGACTTTTCAGTGAGCTAAAGCAGCCCCACCTTGGATCACTTCTTGCCTATAACGTTTCTAGGGAGCCAAAGCAGGCCAGCCCAGGCTCTCCTAAGCCCCTAAGTCCTTCCTTTGTTTCACTGTCCCCAGCTTTAATAAACATACTCATAAATAAATAAATAAATAAATAAATAAATAAATAAATAGTACCCAGCCCTGGTGATTTGTGTAAATAAAGCCTTTTTAAAACTCTTAGTTGATGTGCATTGCTTTTTAAAAATTAATCTTTTTGGTTGAATCCTCAGTATGCTGTTACCTAAAAAAAAAAAAATTCTACAAACCCTGTTGCCAATTCTTTGATAACTATATATTGTTCAATAGAAATAAAATCCATTGCAACTCCTTTCTGAGTTATCTTATATATTAGAAAGGCCAAATCGAATTAGTCATTATTCTTGGTGAATGGGCTAAGTGTTTTTAATCATATAATCATGACGGTTACTCAGACTAAGGCATTTAAACCAAGAAAACAGCACCTTCTTATGGGAACACCATGCATAACTCTTTTGGAAAGGTGAGGTCTGCTAAATAAAAGATATTTCTGCGTATCAAAGATGATGAAGCTTTCTGCATGAGAACAGAAAGTACCCAGAGGAACAAGTCAGGAGAACAAATTAATTCTTTTAAATGAAAAAAAAAAAAAAAAAAGCAAATATCCTTCACCAGTAAAACAGATTTTTTAATCTGTTTTTGAAATCTACTTGTCAAAGAGTCTTCAAAAGGCAGCTGAGAGGGGAACAGATTTTTCATTGTAATAGTGGAAGTGGTCTGATAGTTTGAATCTATCAGCATGCATTTTTAATATTTTTCTTAGTTTTAAAGAGATGGCTTTTGGCAGTGTATTTTAAACAGACAAAGGATTTACACTACTCTCAAAATCTACTTTACTGTCAGCTTTGACCCACCTGAGAAAGAAAAAGTGATCATTCAAATGCATATAATTCATAAACATTACAAAGGAGAGCCACTTTGTTTCAGCAATCCTCACATTAACAGTCTGCCACCAAATGCAGTGAAAAGTATTGACTGGCAGAAGGTTACAGAGAAGCCATAGGCTTAATTTACAGACATGTGACGCATAGGGCATTTTAACCTAATTCAATATAATTTTCAGGATAACTCGTAAAAGAGAAGTCATTTAAATTATTTTGCTATTCCATATATTTTTGTCATCCAAAATATATTTCAATCCAAAATAAGTCAAATAATTTATGTTTGTGTGTGTGTGTGCACATATATATATATATTTTTTAATTAAATGTCTGAGGCTATACCAGCCACTGTGCTTATGGTCTGAAGCCATATATATTTTATTTCATCTAATATATATAGGTATGTATATACACACACACATATGTAGCAGGTATTTCTATAAAATATATACACTTTGTTGTCATACTGGTTATATGTGAAATTGTTCTTTTTGAAGTAACCTCAGGCCATGACTTATAGTAACTATTTGAAGGCCTTACTTAGTGTCCCCCTGGTGATGCATGCAGTAGCTCAAGTTAAACCTTTGTGCGCTGGCTTATGAATAATCTTTTGTTCCAAAGAAGGCAAAAGCCTCAGTCTGATTTAACACCAAAGAATAAATTCCTCTGACTTTCCAAGTAAATCTAAACACATTCTACTGACAAAATGTACACACAGGGGATTTTCTAAATACCATACATATTACACATTTTCACACTTAGAAGGTAATCCTATGATACAATTTCAACCTCTATTTTAAAAGACTATCACCAGTAAAGAGAGAAAATAACATTCATAAGAAAAAGAAAATGGGAAAATAACCATAGGCTTGGGAATTCCCTCAAATCCAGAAAATTCCAGGTTAAGGCTTGAAGTTGAATCATTTCCGGGTCTAGCTCTAAAGTTCACACGAGTACAAGGCAAACAGTTTCTTTGGGGACAAGCAGCATTATTTCGATTCGACCTTCTCCTGCAGGGTACAATCATTCCTCCCCACACTACGAATGGACTCCAAGGATCATAAAAAGCAGGTACACTCACAAGAACCAAAGCTGACATGGATAAGAGCAGCAGGATCACAGTACACCAAAGTATCTTATATACTGAAGAAATAATTAAGCGTCTTAGATTTTTCTATAAAAATTTGTGATCTATATAGGACTTCATTCACATGGACACTAACAACAAGGAGTATTTGCTTTGGCGGTAGTGGATCACACATCTGCTTATCTTGTTTTTAATCTATTTTTTTTTTTTTACATAATGTTTCTGAGAACACAGATGTGAGTCAGGTAGCATTTGAATTCCCCACATACACACAACCGAGATGCCCCACAGCCGGCGTTCCCCTGGGATCCTTGATTCACTGATGTTGGCCACACGAATCCAGCGTCCAAGCTCATCGGCTTAGCTTCTGCATCGTCAGTCGGCGTAAATGATAAATCCGGAAAATGTGCTGTATTTGTTGTTGTTCCCTCCGTGGGCCTTGCCGCCGTCGAGCTTGATGTAGACTTCGTCCCCCGGCTCCAGGTGAAGGACCACGCTGTTGCTGGCATAGTCGTAATTCTGGTCGGCGTCCTGGGCGATGGCACTGGCGCGCACCTGCGGGCAACGGGCAACGGGCAACGGTTAGAGCTGGGCCGGCGGCATCCCCTTTGGGCCGCGCGCACAGCCTCAGGAGCCGGCCTGCTCACGGCAGACAACCGACGCCGCCACGGCCACCTTGGCCTTGGAGCTTTGCGAGGATATCTTTGTAATCGTCTCAACTATGCTGATGGAAAGGAGGAATGGAAAGGCGCAACGGTGCCTGCATGGCAGCCGTCTGTCCTTACCATGTGTTGTAAACAGTGCGTGCCAATCCGTTCTCTCCTTAAATCACTACGTTTTCTGATTCTTTTACCTCTCTGCCCAATCACTTCTTGAAGTGGAAATAAGGGTCATTTCTTGCATTTTAATTTACCCAGATAGCAATATTCTAACCAGCCGGTGAGGAGCACAGGAGCTCAACCCAAGCTGCAGCTCTAGTCCCCACAATTATTAGAACATGAGATCCGCAGGAGGTAAAGACTCAGAGAAATACCACTACTCTACTGTACAGGAGGAAAGCCAGCTGATTTGGGGATTTCAAAGTCTAATTCAAGTAAAGCCCCTTTTGCCAGAAGCTTAACTCTTTTAAACATCTTTGACTATATCATCCAACTTTACAGGTGGTGTTTTTTTTCTATTTGTGCCTTTTTAATCACTTAATTGTGATGTGTGCAATTAAGCAAATTATTTCATTTCAACATATCTGAAATTATAGAAGGAACTAAATTTCCATGATTTGAAGTTTCTCAAATTGCTAGAGTTTTTGAATGATCTCATTTCGGTGATTCTAAGTGTGTGGTTTGCTTGCTTATAAACCCATTCGTGTGGAGCCTGTGGTTTCATTAGTGATTTGACAGACATTTGCAAACAATCAAATTGCTATCATATCAAGTAACATGGGCATTCTGTCACATCCTCAACTCAAATTAGGCTTCATGCCCATTTAGCTAAATTTTGATTCTGCCTTAGAAACAATTTTTCAACAGGCAGGCTTGTATTTGATTTCCTTCAGTAAAACATCTACTTTGTGGCTTGTTTCTCTTCCAGTATAACGGTATTTCCCTGAATAACATAGCAAGTGATTTAGTGGTTTTGTAAACCTGCGCTATGTGATAATGCATGACTTGGGGTACAATGTGCCAGAATTTATCACTTGGCAAAATGAAGGAACTGAGACATAAGTCAAGAATTTCCATGCATTTTTTTCAAAATGTAAATGGTAGATTTTCAAATTAAATTTTCATGTGGTATGTTCTCACATTAATGCTGAAATGTTAAAAAAGGAAAAGGCTCTTTGACACTGCTGAACTTGTAAAGTGATTTGAGAAGTATTTAAAATTTTCTTTCTGGCTATCATAGAGCAAAAGGAGGAAAGGCTTAGAGCATTTAGAATTCCTCAACACTGTGCTGGCCGACACCAGTCCGATTATCACGATATACCCCACAGTTACGCCCAGAAGCACTGGCTGGAATGTACTCACCAATTTAGGGAGGTGATCTGTTTTGTCCATTAAGTAATAATACAACTTAATGTCATAATATTTCCTAGGAATTAACCGTAAGTTTGTAGGAGTTGAGTGCTTTGATTTGTTAATGTCATCTAGTCATTAATTCCCAGGGAAAAACATCTACAAGGGGGATAGTGCGATTATGACCTGATCTTTTTCATGTGTGGATTTTTCGTGGGTGAGAAAAATTAAAATACAAAATAGTAATTAACCATATTAGTAATATAGTATCAATCCCTAATATACTTCTCAGCTGTTATTAATAACCACACACACCTTATTTACTGCCTTAGCATTTACTATATGTTCCATGGGTATTGTGCTTTAACACTGTTTTCTATACAAAGGCCTTTGGGAACCAGGACTCATTAAAATCACTTGATTCTGAGACAATAATCTTAAAAAAATACATATAATGCAGTTTTTATTCTATAGGGTATAACCACAAATCATGTCATTATTACCATTTTTATTCAGCAGGGGTAATCACAAAAACCTGTAAATACATTAGTGTGATCCCACAGACTGGAAGTTACTCCTATGGTTTTCGCTTCCTTTGTGAAAAAAGCCAGTGTGATTGCTCTTAAATGAAAGTGATTCTCTAAGATTTTAACCTGTACTGTACCATAAGACCTTCCCAATTAAATAGCTGCCATGCTCCAGTGTCTTTTGCATGATTTTAGTATCCCTGCTCACCTCATCCTACTCTAAAAGTATAATGGCACTTGAAATTTCAAGCTCTAGTCTCTAGCTCGGTGACTTCCAACAGTTCTGCATTTAAGCCATCAAACTATTGAGGGAGGTAATGCATCCACCCTGGAGGCTATTTTCAGGTTCCTAAATGTACACTGATTTTAGCATTTTCTCCGGAAATACGATGCATCCTTTCCTTAGCTCAACATACTCATTTCTATCTAAATGTACGCTAGTATCTTTTCATATCTGAGTTAAGTATTTAGATTCTGCTTGATCTTTAGTGCATGTTTTATGGCCCCTACAAAGATAATTAATTTGACATTTCCTGATCTCACTAGTAAATAGAATGATGCAGTTTTTATTCTATAGGGTATAGAATAAAACCCACAAACTAGTCACTGTTTCCAATATACCTCTTGTTCACTGGTGCCTTAACAAATAAATTCTTAGAGTGAAAATTGGTCCTTAATTATTTTATAATTCTAATCTTGAGCCTGTTGGTAAGTTTTCATTATAGTGGCTTATTATAGTAATATTATAGTGATTATATCCAAGTAGCAATATTTTTATTCAGGTTTTCTGCTAGAGGTATAGAAACATATTAAAATATTTCCCAGCTATTTGAGTCCAATTTTTACCTTTAATATGCACTGTCATGGGCTCTCAACAGATGATAAGATTAAGTTTAGGTTGATGGTTTCAAGGGGAATGTGAGAACCGTGGTGCTTTTAGTGGCAGGTTTGTGAGAGCGTAATAGGTTGTATAGCTTTAGCATTATCACATTAGTGAGGATTATCATTAGAACAATATTTATGGTAACATTTGCTAATTTAATTAATTGCTACTGATGTTCTCATAATTTCATTTTCATTGTACTTCTGTGGAATCATAAACAAAAGGTTAAGTGGCGCATCAGGTTCATTTACTGGCCTTTGATGTTTCCATCTGTGATCCTGCATTAACACAAAGCATAAATAAATTGCTTCTCATATGGTAGCATTCCAGAGACATTCCTCTATCCGAGAGTGAACTGCATTTTTTAGTGCAATTTTTGTGTTTCTCTAATCCATTTAATCCACAGAACATTATACTGACATGGATCTCTGAGTTTCTGTTTTATGAAAACAAATTATGTCAGCTCAGAGGTGGCAACTGCCATTCTAAGAAGTGATTAGACAAGAGCATAATTGAAAAGCAAGGATAAACTATTTATTCAATATTAATAAAGATGTTATAAGATTTCTCATCCACAACTGTGTGCAGCCTAGACTTTGCAAAATAGTTCTATTCTAGAGATAAAATTCCTTAACAGTAATATTGTAATAACTATTTCCCAAAATAGCCCATGCTGAATTCAAAACTATATTGTTTGCTACGATATTTATTTTCTGAATTCCTTGTTGCACACCTTTGCTGAGCAGCAACTTAATAATGCCAATGGAAAGCATTATACCTTTAAGGTCAGCTGTTTTGCCTTGCTCTTTTTTCCTGACCCTCAAAGAATGTACACGCTAGGGTGATACAAAGGAGCACTCTGCACTCCGAATAATGAAATAATTTAAAAATGAAATGCACATAGAATGTGTATGTGGAATGGTTTTCATGGAACCAGTGTAAGATTCTCGGGCTCAGCAGTCTAGATATCAACATTTCAGGTAATTTAAATATATTGTTCCCTGGTTTTTCATGCAATTGCAATTTCCAGATATTTAAAGATGTGAGCACTTTTATACATGGACTGATTAAACCTGAATTTTATTCCATGTTAATGAATATCTCTAAAAACAGTCTCTTTAGCATGTATTTTCCAGATAGTATTTTCTTTAGATAGTATTTTCCAGACTTAACCGTTGAGTCAGAAGATAGCCAATTTGTAAATAAATGGGTGCCTCACCCCTGCCTGCTGAGGGGCTGTCCATGAGTCCTTTTGTCCATGAGTCTCTATGGGTACAGTGAGTCATGCCCTTGGTAGCCATTTACCTATAACTATCCCAGGGCTCTGCAAATAATTTTTATTTATCTTAATATTATTTTTGTGCATAATAACTATAATAAACAACCCTGTCAGTGCCTCCTGGTGGCCAATTCTTCTCTTTTTGTTCCACAGAGTCCTGAGTCCTGAGAGTCCTTTAAGCTATTTTCTTCTAAATTCCTTTAGAAGTGAGGGGCGGGATGGGATTTTTTGTCCTTTCTATCTCTTATACATTTAAGATATTTGTCTTTCGTTTTTGAAACAATCCTGACAGTGAATTAGGTTTTCGGAAGAACTTCAGCTTCAGTGCTGCTTAATAGAAACCTGGGTTATAGCTAAAAAGGTCTGAATTCAAGGGGAAAGTGACCAAGCCCCATAGACCTTGTTAAATCAAAGTTGGCCATGGCAGGGTCAAGGGCCATTCACTGTGCCACCCGATAAACAAAGTTACAGCCCCAAAACTCTGTCTAGACTGCAGGCGGCAAGGCCTCGCCCCCAGCAGCCACCGATCCAGCATGCGCAGAGGATCTGATTACACCTTCAGGCAGTTACACATATTATTTTCCTCTTCTGACTACGAGATAAGACACCCTTTGGTTCTGCAATGACTGCGAATTTCTCGAGCAAACGGGAAAGTTGCCCCAGTATAAAACTGCAGCCATGTGGCCCTTGTGGCAGCGCCAACAGCTCGGGAGAGCACGTCCTCCTGGCCCAGGGCTAATCTGAGGCTGTTCACAGCCAAGGCCAAGGCCCCCGGCCCTGCGCGCTGGAAGGCCGGGGTGCAGCGACCTTGGCGCAGGTGCCTGGGCTCGCGCCGCGCGGCCCCGGCTTCCCGCTGGGCTCCCCTCCCGCTCTCCCGTCCACCTGCCCGTGCGTCCCGGGACCTGCCCCAGGAAGCGGAGTTTGGGTTCTATGTTCGGGATCCTGTGTTACGGTCTAAAACCATGAGTTTCAACTTTTTTCTTCTGTTCTCAACACTCATTACATCTCCCCCTTCGTCTCCCTGGCTGAAAACTAAACCGGATTTGTGTTGAATTTGACCGCAGGCGAGTTTCCCGGTGCGGGTCGCTGCGGGCCTCAGGGTCCCCGCTGACTCGCTCCTTCGGACCCCCCTTTCTCCCCTGGACTGGTCTTTCTCTCTCCCCCGGGGGTGGGTTGGTGGCCCTGGCACGCCCAGCCTGGACTCCCCCGGCCCTCCCATTCCCGCCAAAGCCCCTGAGCAACCACCCCACAGCCGGGGGTCCCCGGCTGCTGCTCCAGGACTCCCCGGTTCACGCGCCGTTCAGGACACCGAGCTCCCGGCCTCCCGCCCCTCGAGGGTCGCGCTCACGCACGGAAGCGCCGAGTGCGGGCCCCGGGCTGGGGGCACCGCCCTCTCGGGGCCTCGGGGAGCAGCCCTTTTTGACTTTCGACCCCGGAGTCCCCAGAGCGGAACCGCGCCCTCCCTTCGCAGCGCACCCGGGAGCCCCGAGCCGCAGCGCCCCTTCTGCAGGGCCCCCGCCCCGTCTGCGGGGTGTCCTCCCTCTCGCCCGCAGCGTCCCCGCGCCGCCCGCGCGCACCTGGTTGTTTTTGCAGAGATCAGCCCACATGCTGGTGCCGTCCCCGCCGCGCATCAGGACGTGGTAGGTGAAGAAGTAGATGCCGGGGATGGAGCAGGTGAACTTGCCCGTGGTGGGGTCGTAGTGGTTGCCGAGGTTGGTGACGACGTCGTCGAACTTGAGCACCTCGTAGCCTTCGTGCTGCCGCTTGAGGCCGGCGTAGAAGGCGATCTTGGGCACCGTGCTGTAGGTGGCCGCGCTGATGGCCCCCGCCGCGTTCAG